AACTTCTATGTCTCTTGGGCTTGGTAAAATGGGCTTATTAGTAGGTGTCCTATACGGTGTGGCACAACTTCCCCAATCACCAAGTTGGGCTCTCCAGTGAGCCCCTCATGTGGGCTATCTCCTTATTTTGTATTTGCGCCTTGTTGGCTGTTGGCTCCTCAATGGGAAGAATTTATCCCCCAGGTTGATTAGCTGTGAGGTCTAGCTTCAACCACCATTGAGGATCAGCTGTGCAAGGGTGAACCACACAGAGCAAAACTTAAATTTGTCTGTTGAGTCCACCTCTTGAGTTTGTACCTTTTGGAGGAACTTGAGTGGTCTGAAGTTATTCACCCAGTTTGCTGGCTCTAAGGGGCCTCCTGGGAATTGCAAGTCAAAGTCAGCCACTACCTGTGCCCTGCCTGGGGCCATGTGGTTTGAGCTACAAAGTGATCTACAGATGGCTGTTATTTGTGCTTGACTTCGAGGTGCCCAGGAGAGGCCACGCTATGCACCAAGGCCAGCTGTTGCTAGTATCTAGCTGAAGCCACTTAGCAAGGGGTACAAGGCATGCCAAGGCCAAATGCTGCTTGTTTGAGAAATATTAGGCAAATCCAAAGCAGGAACTATTGCCATACAAGGCAGTCTGTTTGTATAGAAAAGTCACTGGAATCTGCTTGGGTGGGTCCACAAGTTGGGTGTGGCAAAATCTCATGGAATCACCCAGGTGGGGCAAACAGTATTAGCCAAGTTGATGGAGATGTAGATAGGGCACCCACCTGCTGGCTTGAGGGCTGGGGTTGGGAGTTGAAAAGAAACAATGATCTCTACCAGCACTTCTCTCTCCATCTTCCACTCTGATGCCAGATAATTTAGTTTCTCCCCATTTGTCCCTGGTGCCCCCAGTGCTGGAACTCAGAGCATTAAGTCTGTTCTTAGGCCCTTTAACAGGAAAGCCTGGGACTTCAGAGCCCTCTATCTCACTCAGCCTCAATCCCTGCTGCTTTTTTTTCAGCCAAAAGTTATGGGGTCTTCTCTTCCTTCTATTGGAACCCTGAGTTATGGGCCCTGGGCTGGAGGATCTCTGCATCCGAGATATCCCTCCCCATTTTTATCTGCCACACATGGGTGGGGGACCAGCCCTTCCCCATTCCTCCTACCAGTCTTGATGTGGCTTTTTCTTTTTATCTTAAGTTATAGGAATTCTATTTAGCTAGGTTTCAGGCAGTTCTGAATGATGGTTGTTCGGTAGTTTAGTTGTAATTTTGATGTGATTGTGGGAGGATCCAAATACCACTGTCAGCTTAATGAGACCACACCCTTATATCGTGATTTTATTGTTTCTCCTCTGATAATAATGAAAACTACAATCCACTTAAGAAAATCAGGTTGTATGCCCAGTGGTCCTATTATTAACTTGTCAGGCTTAGTTTTTGCTAGGTGATTTACTGCACACAATCAATTGAGCAACATAAAACACATGCATTTGTGTGTGTTTTACACAAGAAAGTGCAAAATTGAGCTATAAATCAAATATTGACCAAAAGTTTCATAGCATTAATAAAAATCTAAGGGGGTATTTGTATGCTGATACTTCTTCCATAGCATACTTGTAAACTTTTGCAAACATATTTTCAGGTAAGCCTGCATATCTAGTATAATTGGTATTTTGCTTATGGCCTGTTAATTTCTTCCTCCTGTAGACACCTGCATTATTAACAGGCACCAACATTAACATTTTCCTGATCTTTCATAATGCCAATATTTTGAGAAATGTTTCAATTTTCAAGAAAAAGTTATCAGTTCTGCTGATCTTCCGGTCAGCCACACCCAACAACCATTCATACAGTTCCTGAAACTTTCTCTCCATATGAATCCAAGATTGCTGCTCTGCAATGCAGTAGATCTTTAAGTACAAAGACTAAATTAAAATTTGCTTACATAGTTTATTTTTAAAGAAATTTAAAATACAGTGTAAACATACATCCAAGATATTGTGGCAAATTAGATTAGAAATAACATGAGGTTATTTACATGTTTTGTATATGTGTGTATATATGCATATATATATATATACACAAAGTGCAGATAAATACAGAAACACTACAAAATAAACAAAAAATTCAATATGATAATTTACTGACAATCATTTTTCAACATATTTATTACTTAACTTGTCATGTTAATGGATGCAAAGAAATTCCTAGTACTAAAATATAATATCTAAATATTCAACTTTTACATAAACTATAGTACCTCAAATTTTAACAGTATATAAATAGGATTCTGAATTTAAAAAAAAAACACACACACACAAAAAAAGTCATCTTCCCTGACAAACTCCCTATTTATTTGTAAAGGTTTCAGCTCAGAGTTCGAGAAGACTCTTGACATCCTGGCTCTCAATACGTGGGGATACCTCAGGTTTTAACAGCATGCTCTGTAAAAGACAGGTGAGTGAAGATACAGAGGCAGGTATAAAACCGCTAACAGTGCTGCCACATACAGAACAATGCACATTGCAATTTTAGATACTGGGTGGATTCAAGGCGAAGCTGGGCTGCTCTCAACGCTGGAAGGTAAAAACCATGGAAAACACTGCTGAGAAGTGGCAGGTAATACACAGGGGGGAGAAAATGGTCTTCTAATTAACACCATATTGGCACTTTCAGCCCCCACCCACTTCCAGCACTAAAATTCCTCATGCAGACCTATACAGGAACATCTATGGCGATGGAGGGTATCTATGTCTGTAATCATTGTAAATGGCACCTGCCCCTTGGGACTCCCCAGTGAACACACAGACTCCATCTCTCCCTAAAGCACCAAGAAATATTTGGCTTTGTACTTAGCATCTCTCTCATGAGTGCCAGAGGAGGAGTGATGACCTACTGAATCCCTACCTCATACAGCTGCTTCTAAGCATTGGTCTAGAGCTATGAAGATCAGTTTTCTGCCTGGCTTGATGTGAGTGCTGTCATCATTCTTATTTGAGATTCCTTATTTAAAACAGTGGATGCAGCTGCCCTACACATATTTTCCCCATCCTATTTATTGATCGGATCCTCTAAAAGTCCATATCATTCATAAATCTGGGTTTGTACAAGGCTATCACCAAGTGGGACCTGCACCTCTGAAGCAGGAGAGTATTGGTAACAATGATGGATACAATGACTGTGTTCAGGAGATGTGAAACAAGGTAATAAATACCTGATAGTAAGACTGTGGATTAGCAGGAGACAGCCAGGATGAACCTCATTGGTAAAATAGGTTTTGATTTTGGAAGATAAGAGGCAAAATTAAACAGCAATTTCTACCTTAACTGACAAACCTCTAGTCAGAAGCAAAATAACTTTCGGACAATGGTCCAAAATAACAATGGTCAAGTCTCTTTACCAAGAGATATATTTTTTCGGTCCTACTCAGTGTTTTCAGGTCAGAGTACGGTAATAGCTACAAATTAGAAATATATGTTAAAACCAAAGAACAAAAATCTGCTCCTAAATTTCTCTGCCTCTAACTTCAGTCAATAAAGTGTAAATCAAATTGGGGCTTCAGATGTTAATTCAAGGGGTTCGTTAACAAAGTGAAGGTGTTTGAAGAGAGGCCCTGCAGGTCTCTTCTGCACCAGCATCCACGGGGATGGCATCCTCTCTCACATCAGACACAGAGCTGAAGAGTGAAGCTGGGCGGGAGGTCAGCAGGGATACCCTCACAGGATTAATGTGGCAGGTTTGTTTTTCTTATAACATGGTGGGAATTTAGAAAGCATGCCACAAAATGTAAAACCAAAATATCTAGAATAAGAATAAAAGTCATTATGTACCTTTATTTTCTCTCTTTGGGAACCCGGATCACTGGGGATGGTACCGTAAGGTACTTTTTTTCCTCCTCCACCATCCCTGAAAGAGCCAGCAATCGAGCTATTATTGAGGAACCTGGTTGTACTCATTCGTATTACGAAGCACGGAGTGCTGACTCAGTTAGCAAAACCACTCACATCAAACAAGGAGCAATGGATGGTACTGCCTCATCCTTTGTGGGCTCTACAGGAATACATTTTACTGTTCAGACATATGTGTTCACATAGAAGCATAAGCCTTCAGCTGATGGACTAGTCTCTTTCAACGTGGTAGAGTTATGGCCCCAAAAGAGTCACCTGTTAAATACCTAAATGTGTGTCCTTGGGAATGTTTTCATACAACACACAAGATGACTGGCTTAGACTCCTCAACCGCACCTTCATACTGATTATACTGTAACCAGTGATTACAATCCGCATGTGTGCCTGGAGGGTGTGGATGTAGCAATTCTAACTACTTCATCTTGTCTCTGAAAAGCTAAGATTTCATCACTGAAATGCTGTTACACGTTGGGATGTGATCTTCCAATGCTTGGCATTACCTTCTTATGTAATTAATATGGTGACGTAGAGCCCATGTTTAGATTTTCCCTATGCTCACAAACACCTTATCTGCTGGAAATTCATTTCTTTTTAAAAAAAACTATATATTTTATTGATTTTTTACAAAGAGGAAGGGAGAAGGATAGAGAGCCAGAAACATTGATGAGAGAGAAAAATCAACCAGTTGCCTCCTGTACTGGGGATGTGCCTGCAACCAAGGTACATGCCCTTGACCGGAATCGAACCTGGGACCCTTCAGCCCACAGACTGATGCTCTATCCACTGAGCCAAACCAGTGTTGGCAGGAAATTAATTTCTTGAGAAAAGCAGTTGCCTATCTCTGATATATAGGGTATCCCCCAAAATGTATACACACATTCGGAATAATTATAAAGGGAGTGTTTATTAAAATACAATTCATTTTCAAAATTGAGCTATCAACTATTAAAGTGTGTACACATTTTTTTTGAAGGATACCCTGTATATAGCCATGACTTGCTTACATGTGTACTTGGCAATGAAGAAAAAAAAATAATAATAATCTTCCTCAAAAATCTATAAGATGAATACTTCGAACAAAAACACAATTTGAATAAGGATTTTTGTAGCTTGTTTCAAACAAAGGACCACAGCATGTAAGGCACAGACATGCCTCACCAGGAGAAAGAGCTTCATGCCACATCCTAGACAGCAAAGGCTAATTCCCAAACGAGCAAGCATGGGGGAATTAGCTCGCAGACAACTCAGACGCAGGAACACTCTGGTCCGTGTGAAAATACAGTGAAGGGTGAGATTTCCTTAGGCAGCAGCAAGTGAAGTAGAATTCTGAATCTCTTTTTCGAGTCAGGTTGGTCTTTGAAAAGAAAATCAATTTGCCTCTCAGAGGTTCTAATCGGGAAGGATGTCAGACGATGGCAGGGGTGGTCACAGTGACAGCGCTGCACAGACTAAGGGACTGGCAGGTACTTCGGAAAGACAACCTTCTGTTCCAGCAGAGGGTAGTCCAGGGTGTCAGCAAAGCTATTATTACTAACCAAGGCCACCAAGGGCCTAGAGATCAAGAAGCTCTAGCAACACCCAATTATCGTGTACAAAAAATGAACAGCAGGAGGAAAGAAAAAAAAAAAAAAAAGAGTAAGAGAGAGAGAAACATCAGATTTTTTTCATTATATTACTAACTTTTATAACATTAAATAGTTTTTCATTCCAACGCACTGATATTTATTTCTGGCCGTGACCCCACCTACTGTTATTCTCTCTATGTTTAAATTCTACTCTAGTGTTCCATTTTTAATTTTAAAGGCATACATGCTCCAAGGCATAGTGCGTACAAGCGTATGTGTTGAGTGTATATTCTATTAACTCTAGAGACATTAATTTAAAGTAGAAGAGACTGAGATGACAGATTATAATATCACATAAAAAGAGTTTTATACAGTCAATACCTGAGAGTGTCTGTACAGTGGAGAACTCTGAAGTAACAAGTAAAACACAGCCCAGTGGGCCCGCGCTGTGGTGGTTAAACGACAGGTAACCAGCTTTTTGAAATCTTGAGAAGAAAAGCTCTTTGCCACACGCAAGTATTTATAGAAATGATACATCAGAATTACGGAAATAGAATTATTGAAATAACAGAAATGCGTGACCAGCTGTTGACAGCATATATAAATGGGTAGTAAATTTCTATGCTCTATAAATTCAGTGAAATTCCTAATAAAGACTATAAATTGAATGGCATTTTTAAAAATCATGTACACATGTTATTCCTGCTAAAAATGATAAAACCATTTTAAAATTTTGTGGTTCAAAATAATTTAAGAATCCTTGTACCTTTATGCTTACATTTTGTTTCAAGCATAGACTTTAGAAGGCATAGCTTCTCTTCTAGTATCTTAAAAATTTCTTGATCATTTGCAGAGAATTTCTCATTAGCCCAAATTAGGTGTCAACAGAATTCTTTGACACTTTAATGCTACTAGTAGAATTCAAGTTGTATGCCTAGACTTTTACATTGTCTTCCTCATACGGTAATGATGCTTTTGTGATGCTATTATGATGCTACTATGTGCATATAATTTATTGGTATTTATATGTAATGAAGTAACATTTCATAGAAATCCCCAAGTAATAAAGCTAGTTTTACATATCCTCTAAACCAGGGCTCAGCAAACCATGACCCATGAGTCACATAGGACCTGCCGCCTGTTTTTGTATGAACCAGTAGCTGACAATGGCCAGAGAGGACTATTTCGTGTCATGGTTATTATGTGATCGTCAAGTTGCAGGGTCCATATATAAAGCCGTGTCGGCTCACAGCCACACTGATCCGTTTCCTTATTGTCTATGGCTGCTTTCTGCCATACGATGGCAATTATGTATTGTGATGGAGACTATAGAGCTTGCAAAAGACAAGAAATTCACTATCAGGCCTTCACAGAAATAGTTTGCTCGTCCCTCCTCAAAGCCTATGGAAGGCGTCTGGAATGCTGGATGGAGTGTTTCCAATGGACTCAGTGTCTGACTTATTTTGGCTTCATTTACAGGCATTATATACATCGTTGCTTTTGAGTATTATCATCTTACTTGGTAAACAAAAATAAAGTTACATGAAAAAACAAGATATATCCTTGAAATGTTTAGGACCAGCAAAACAATCATATATAAAAGCAGTATTTTTTTTAAAGAAAAAAACCATAAACGAGCAATTTACATTACATTCTTAAGTAACAATTTCAAGGTTTCTCAGAGAATGCCAGACAGTGAAGGGCAGATCCCAAAATCCTTAAATCAAATTTCTAGTTTTCAAATTTCTGGGATATAGTGCTTATACAATATTTGAGATTCTCAATTATTATGGAGTCACCGTGGAGACTTATAAAAAAGAAAGATATTTTAAGATAAGAAACCAGAAAAAAAAAAAAGAGAAAAAAAAGAATGGCAAACAATTTGAACATTTTTTTTTTCCTTTTCCATTATAGGGAGCTACATAGCCTGCTGGTGTAGGACTTGATAGAAATTGTCTGTTTTCATTTAGTGGGCTGATTGCCATATCTGTGTCAGATAAAATCATAGCATGTATTATTTGTTACCATGGATACCATGAAGATACTGCCATCCACTAAACAGTATTAGAGGAAGACAACATAATTTTCTGGGACTAGTCCTGTTTTGCCTTCATAAGTTGCCTTCAACCACCCTGGTTCCACCGATGGGTACACTGGGGGAAAAAATAAAAAGTTAATGTGACTCACTCAGCATTAGCTTCAAATAATTATATACACTAATGAATAAGAATCCTCCCACATCAGACTGCATGAATCCACAAAACAATGTCACAGCTTCTTTAAAGATGGAAATGCCCTTTACATTCTTATAATAAGTCAGCCAATTTCTCCCATCTTCCCTCCACCCTAAATCCAGACTCCACCTCCCTGACACACACACACACACACACACACACACACACACACAGGGAAGGAAGCTGGGGTCCAGAGGAATTTGATGTGTTCCTTTGTTTCCTTAAAGGAAGGCATACTTACCGTTAGAAAAGACCGCCCCCTGCGGGAAGGAGAGCTCATGGCTGTGCTCGGCCTGACAGGAGTACATGGCTTTGGCTTGGCTGCAAGAGCAAAAGGCGAGTTGTAAAAACCACAACTCAAAAAATAAATACATTCATAGCTCAAATGATCTTAAAAATGGTATTATTTTCTGGTTGTAATTGGAGAATAATATACACAAAAGGCACATAAGTGTGCAAAGTGCACTTTTCACAAACTGAACACTGGTACATCATCAGAAAACATTGAAAGCAAACCAACATCTCATCTAGTGTTTGCAGGCAATGCCTCCACGTGTAACCTCAGCCCGTTTGTTTTAAAGAATGCCATTGTTTAATTGTTGGTAAATAGGCTGTCTTTGCAGCTATACAGAGGGTCAGAGGTACCCTAAAGTTGTTTTTTTTTTTCTCCTCCACTTTCATTTCAGATTAGCAGAGGTGAGATTCCCCAAATTACAAGGTCTACAAAGTATAGTAAATGAGTTAAGTAAGCCTGATGGATAAGTTGATGGTGAATGGCCAACAGCAGTGGCCTCGTTGTCAGGGCGATGATGGGGACAGATAGAGGCTTTGCAAATCAGGGAACATACCCGTCTTTTAGGAAAGGAAGCCAAGCCTCAGCTCCCAACATCTGGGCCCTATGGGAATTCAGGTTCCAGACAGCCAGATACTCTGGTTTTCCAAGAGAAGCCAACATTTCAGAGTTTTCTATGAGTTCTATTCAAAAGCACTCGAGCCAGCACTAATAGGCCATCATCTGAGGCCGCTAATCAAGTCATCAGCCAAGTCATCTTTACTCTGCGACATCCCTTTACCGTGGTAAGACGGGAACTCCTCCTGGCTCCACCTACTTCTCAGCATCTCTACCATCCGTATCCATGCCAACATCATGTGTGGCGTGACTCACTGACTGAATGGCTTCCCACCATCCCAAATCCTCTAGGCTTCCTGTTCTGTCGCCTTGCAATTCATCCTCTACAGGGCAGTCAGAGGACAGTTTAGAAAAGGTTCTGAGCATCATGCTATTTCCCAGAAAACAGCCCTTTCATGGTGTCCAGCTCCAGCTCCATTCCATGCACAAGCGGGTGCCTGTCAGTTCTCTTGCCTCTTCCCTGTCTCTGCTCACCTGCTGGGCTCATCCCCCTGCCCTTTCACCTTCTGCAACATGCCAATCTCATCCCCGCCCAGGCCCGCTGAGCCCTGGCTCTGTGATGTTTTCCTCTTGATCCTCACGTGCTGTGCACTTCTGTTCATCTTAAATTTCCTGAGCTTTGCTGAAGGTCATGTCTTCCCTGCGTACACTCTGAAGCAGCTGCCCCGGCCATTATCAGATCCTCCGAAGACTGCATGGCAGCAGTATCTATTAGTCTGTTGTTTTCTCTTTTAATCAGAATGTAACATTCATGAACAATGCCTGAAGCCTGGTAGTAAAACTCATTAAATATTTCTTGAATAAATGAGTAGAAAAAAACATGACGAGTCCTTTTAAGCAGTCAAGGTTCCTGTCTTTCTTTCCTTTGGCTCTAGCACTTCATCAGCACATAAGCATCAGCAGTTCTCATAAAGCACCAGCATCACATGATTTCTTTTCCCTGTTGAGCCTGACCCCGAGTCTAACCTCTATACTTCCAGAGCCTAGGTCATTGAGACCAGGGTTCCCAAGTGGATATCTGAAGACTGAAAAGCTTATGGAGGAAAGCTCCAGCCCTGCTCCTAGCATTGGCTTCATCAGAGGTAAGGCTTAGGCTGTACTTTGGAAAGCTGGCTAGGGGAGCCCACAGCAGCCAGGCGAGGGAATGACCACTAGCCCACATCCCAGTGAACTGTGGCTTAAGGGAGAATTGAGGAATGCAGGCACCCAGAGAAGACAGGGCTTTACCCTAAAGAGCTGTGTGTGCGTGTGTGTATGCATGTGTGTCAGCACACACATGGGTCTATTGGTTGACATGGGTGGGAGGTGGGGGAGAGGATGCTGCCAAGTCCTTAAGACTTCTGAGAATCAGAAGAAGGTCAAATATAATCATTTGATCTGATATCTAACATAATTAAGGGTTGCAGAGCCATTTCTTTAAAAATATCTAAATATTTTACAAGAATTCAAACTTTCTAACAGTAGCAATTTCCTCTAATAAACAAAATCTTATTGCTTTAAGTCCTTAGAATAAATTAAGAGATGCATAAGGAAACAATGTCCAGAGTTATAGAAATGACCTATACTAATAAAAGGATAATATGTTAATTAGGCTAGACATCTACTGGATGTTCTTCTGGATAAAGCCACAGTGGTGGGGGCTGAGGCAGAGGCAGTTAGGGGCAATCAGGCCAGCAGGAGAGAGCCTGTGGGATCGGGCCTAAATTGGCAGTCAGACATCCTCCCAAGGGGTCCGGGATTGGAGAGGATGCATGTCAGGCAGAGGGACCTGCCCCCCACCTCCTGTGCACAAATTTCATGCACCGGGCCTCTAGTTAAGGTATAACAATCCTTACAATGTTATAATTTTTGAAAGTAACAGGCAACTAAACTATTTTTTTTAAAAAAATATTTCAGCCATTTTATAAGAAGATTACATGGCTGGAGAAGGCAAGCAGAATAATTGTATCATGAAATAAAAGGATATTGTTAACTGTGTCAAAAATACACAGTACAAAAAATACTTGTCGTGACTTTTCAATTATCTGTGCATGTGTCTAGACAGGTGTAATTTTCTCTGCCGAGCTCCGTAACTGCAGGTGTTAACTCAGCAGAGAGCTCTGATGATTTAATGCAGACTTGTGTGACAGTGAAGTTTTCTCTCCAGGTGCTAATGCTGCCTCTTTTACTGCCTCAGTGCACTGAAGAGGATGTGAAATAACACCGTCAGCTACTGAGTCTCTCTTCAGAAGGGTCTGATATCCTTTGCAAAGGATTCTGAAATCCCTGCTTCTTAGTGCATGGCAGAGTAAGATAATAACATCCTACTGTCCTGAGAGTCATTTTCCCCCTCATCCTACAGAAGGTGACCTGATCACAAATCCCATTCCAATGCCAAATGCTGCCGAATGCTGATGAGTAGACTTACAAAGGTTTGATAGGGTCAGTGTGCAAAATTCACAATGCTTACTAAACTATAAGCAAAATAAAAAAGTCACCCAAAAGGAACTGATAGAGTTTTCTGGAGAGTCACTTAACAATGATAAACACACACACACAGGCACTCCCTCACACTTTCTGGTTGCTGAGAATTTCACTGCTGAAGGAAGTGGACATGCATACAGATAATATCTTTTAAAATCCCAAGAAGTAAGATATATCTGAGGGGTGAAAACAGTGTCCTCTTCTAATGGTCGCATTGACTTTTTGCAGCTTCTACCATGTTGATGATATCTGTTGCTTCTGATCATTCCTTCACGTTGTTCTTTGCTAGACCTTTAAATGAAACCATTCCCCAAAGACCAATCAATGCTCAAGCATTTTTCCTTTACACTCAGCAAGCCCCACCTTCATCTACACAGAGAAACTGAGAAGTTTCTCAAATGGCAAACTCCACAACGTCTAAAAGCCTCTCAGTGTTCATCAGGCTCCTCAAACATTATGGCCACAACTTTCCTCTCTTCCGTTTAATTATAAGCTGAGACCAGAAACTAAGCTGCAATTGTTTCTGATACTCGGAATCTTCATTACCTGTCTTTCACTCCAGTATCAAAGCAGTTGCCAAATCCTGATCCTACCAAAAAGCTCTCCTTGTTGTTTTTCATGCTTTTGTTACTGCTCTATGTAAGGCCTTTAAATCTCACCAATTCCATCCAACATGGTTGACTGTACTCTCCTCTTCACAATTCCTAGAAAATCCACTTGGAATGATCTGTTGGGTATATCACTGATTAGATCACCCCTCTGCTCAATGACTCCCAGCGTGCCTGTGGTGGCTCCCAGCGATGTTACTTTTCTGTTACTTAGGATCATGCACTAGAATCTCCTTATTGGTCTCTTCCTCAAACATAACTAGTCTTCCTACTACTTACTACTGGTTCTAGTGTTCTTCAAGGTCCAATTCAAAGGTTACCCTGAGTTTCCTAGAAGGACCAGGAAATAAGCACTGTAGGACCTTAGTAAGGGAAATGCTGTCAACTTTCTGTTGTTCAGCTGTATTGCATGGTACCAAAAAGTATCAGGTTACTGTTGAAGAGTTAATGTGTAAGTACTATTAATATGATAATTAGAAGCTTGAATATCTTTAATAGTTTCAATAAAAATTATTATAACAATAAGTTGTTATTGTACAGATCATCTGTGGAGAACTTGCCAAATAGATTGCTTTGTATTTGAAATTTACAACAACTAGGTGAAAACAGAGTTGTCACTTTCATTTTATAGAGACAATAGATTTCTTCTGTAACTCCAAGGTTATACACATAGGAAGTGGTGGGGCCAAGAACTCAATGTGAAGTCCACTGTGTCCCTAGTTCCCTGTCTCTGGATGAAAAGTTACAACATGGTCCACAGTGCTGTTGACAAAGACGGTAATTGCTGACAGCCATCAGAAAAGATCAGCCAAAGGACCTGTATGCATGCGTATAAGCCTAACCAATGGACAGAGGCAACAGGGGGGTGAGGGCATGGGTGGAGGGGAGAGGGTTAGGGGGATAGTAGGAGGATGAGAACACATATGTAATATGTAATACCGTAATCAATCAATAAATAAAAAGAAGTTGATTTATAGCAGTATTTAGAATGTAAAAGCTTATTAAAAATGCACAGACTGATTGTTGAACATTTGAGGATATCTTATGATATGACAGCATTCTGATTTACTTCCACAGCTTGCTGTTTTAAAGCCCTGTGGGATCATCTCTGATAACAGGACTTGAGTTAATTGTTTCCAGCTTCCTAATAAAAGGGCTCCATCTAGTGGAGCAATTCAACCATGTAGCTGCACAGAGTACAAGTAGCAAGATTAAATCCCTAAAAATAATGACAGTTTCAGAGAAAAATGACATTGGCTCTGACAGGCACCGTGCGTAGTCTTCACCATGCCTTGATAAAGAAAGAAGAAGTTAAAGATGCTAAGCAGAGGTAAGATCCATGCAAACAGTCTGCAATCTGCCATATGAACTCAATGCACAGACCAATATCCTTGAAAGATAACAACTCTGGTGGGGAAGTTTAAAGAACTAATGTGTGAGGGCCTTTTCTAGGCTTTGGAAAGAATAACAACAATAAAAACAACAACAACAATAAAACTGCTTCTAGAAAAAAGTTCTATAATTTTAAAGTCAAGTATTTTTGAGAAATTTCCACAAACGGTCACCAAAGGCGTCTTTGGTGTGCAAAGGGTTACAGCAACTTGTGTGTTCTGGAAAACTTGTTTTTTAAGAACTCTTCCTTTATGAAGATCTTAGCAGATGAAGCATCACACTCACAGTGTAAGACACTAAATAGTGCTCTCACACATTACCTCTTCCCCATGAAGAGACAGTGAATGTGGACGTGACCATCTGCAGAATGGGGGGCAGAGCCGCCAAAGATGACCCCCCATGTCCACACAAGGCAACAGCCTCACCACTGATTTACTTATTTTTTACTTTGTTTTGAAGACTTACCGCCCAGAAGAAACTGGCTTCACCGAACCAACATTTTCAAACAGTTGGGCTTTCGCTGCCACACTGAAAAATAATTTGACAATGCAAGTTTCATTAAATCGATTAGAAAGCCATTCAATTCAAAATGAAATTCAGAGTTTATCAGTTAAACAAAAGTGATTACTTAAGAACAGTTCCCAAAATTTGACTTGACTTTTCATTGTTTTAAGGTTTAATGTGGAAGAAAGTTTCAGTTCAAGGAGTATCAGACAGTAATAAATCTAAAGCTACCCCCTCTGGGGATCTTGCTGTCCTCATTTTTTCTACCTCAGAAAAGTGGGAGCAGTAAAAAGGAATATTTTATCCCTACTTTGCTCCTGGCAACAACATTATAGACTGCTGTGAATCCACAAGAGAAAAATCAAATCTACATGACAAAAGAATTGTTCATTCTGATAGCTAAGACAAAATTAATTCTAAAACTACTTTTCGTATCCTTTAATATTTGAACACAGTTCCCATAATATGGGAAGAGATAACTCTGAAAATATAGCCATTAAATAAATTTGTGGATTCAAATCTTGTTTCAAATCTTGGGGGTGGGGGCAATGGTCTGTAATGAGATGATAACATTAGGTAGAGAATGAGAAAAATGAAAACTAAGCCACCTTCAGTAAGAGATATCAAATTCCTTAGTATTGTAGATTTTTAAAATCTATTTTATTTCTTTGATAAATTCTCTCAGAACCTGACACATACACTCTCTCCTTAATCTCATCTTTTACTATCAGTAAAATAACAAAACAGAAGCTCTCCTCTTTTTCCCATCCCATCTCCCTTGACATATTAGTTTAAAATTTAATTTCCTTAGTGGCTAGAACCACATATATTGGAGAGCAGACAGATTTATCAATATACTTGTCTATATCATGGCAGTTAAATTTCTGACCCAGAGAGACAATGTTTATTAAACACACTCTGAAACCAAGAGGTTTGTGTCAGAGAAAGGGAGGAACAAATGAATTTAAGACACTTTGTATTGAAACAATCTCAGTAAAATGTCTTACTGGACTTTTGAGGGAAAATTAAATGCCAGGAATACCACGATATTGAAAATGGGCACAGTATGTAAAGCACATTTAATTTACCCCCGGCTCTACACATACTAGCTGAGGGTATGTAGATTGGTTCATTAACTGCTCTTTAAAAGTTTTTATTAGTATTTTTAGTTGAATTAACTCAATGTGCAATATTGTGAATTTTGAGTATCAATTCCCATCATTTCTCAAATGAGGTTTATAGAACCCACTGGATGCAGTGGATAAGAACATGTGTCAGGGCGTCTAGTGACACCCGATACAGCACTCAGAAAGGCTCAGCAAAAGCCTCTTTGGGTTTTGCGTAGTTGTTTAGGCAAAGTTCCCATTTTCTCCTCTTTGACCCCCCTTTCTGCTCACATCTATGCACCCTACCTTCTCATTTTCTACACTTCCGGGTCGTTTCTTTGGATGAGAAGGACTGACTTCTTTTGCTTGTCAAGTTCCTTGTTCTCTAAGAACTTGTTTAAACCAGTTGAGTTCTCAGACGGGGAGTCATGTGACCAGGAGGAGAGAAGGCCAACAACCTTCAGAGCCAGAAAGCAGTTTATTTCTAACAGAAAGTTTGGGCAGCAGGAGGAGGAGGGACTGTCATCTGGGCCTGGCACTCAGTCTCCTCAGCTGGAAAGCTGATGTTTAGCGTTGATAGGAAGGTTTGTAGCTTCTGAGCCCATCGCTACTCTATTATACACCTATTTGCATGTCCTTAAGCCATAGCTCTGCGTCTAAGGAAAGCACTTGGCGTGCCTGCCCATGAGGTAGTTTAGCTTATCCTCTGTAACTTCCACATCACGTTTAGGAGACAGTATGGTCCTACAGAAGTTGGCCACGTCCACGCTCCAGATGAGGCATTCAGGAGAGGAAGAGCCAAGAGCACCCTGGACACCTCAGCCCCATGCTCCCCCTTCAGACCCGGCAAACCCCTCTCACTCACATGGAGCCCGGCCTCTGGTAGCCATTGCTGGAGGCCGTGTCTAGCCTTAACCTCCTGCACATCTTTGGGGGCAGGTCTGGGTTCGGCGGGCCTTTAGGCGTCTCTTTGGAGCCGATGGACGTTAAGCTTTGAGTGGAACCACTGTAGCTCTTGTTTCCTGGAAAAGAAAGTCCCCCCCGCAAGAAAACAGGCAAGGTGTTATTAGGCAAAATAATAGCAACAGCACAGTCCACGCGCATCACAAAAGGAAGCATTCTTCTCTGAGCCCAAACAAGACAAGATGGCACAGAATGTTCCCCAGCACGGCCGCCCGCCCGTCACTCAGGGAGATCAGAATCGACAGCAATTACAAAGACAGCACCTCGCGGAAATAGGGAGAGCCAGGGAGAAAGTCTGGGCGCAGAGGAGTCTGGAAAACCCCCTGCTCAGGAACAAACTAGATAAGCATCATTCGTCCCTGCCCCATTAACTTCTCCCTTGATTAATCACGCGGAACAATCCGGCAAAGCTGCACGGAGCTCATGACATTTTGCATAAGCTCCGCTCCGGCTCACCTTCAGCTGCAGCGATGGACCTGAGGAACGTAGCCGAGGCTCTTTTCTGCCCCGAAGTCCCAAGAGATCCTTTCTTGGCCAGGTCTATGCGCGGGGAAACGTCCCCGGGGCTGGTGACGGAGGCCACGCTCTGGCAGTCTGATTCTGCATCCGTTTTGGTTGCATCTTCTCTAGAACTGGATTCAGGACTGGTTGTCCAGAGACCGAGACTTTTCTGTCCGTTGGAAGGTGACGGGGATGCGATCCAGGGAATCCCTCCGGACTTCTCCCGGGGCTGGCAGGAGGTGGACTTGGTCGTGCTGTTTTGTTCCGAGGAGTGAGAGGAGAGGGACTCAATGCTCCCCATGGGTGTGCTGGCGGGGCTGCTGCTGTAGGAGTCGCCTGGGCAGGGGCGGGGGAGAGGAAGGACAGAGGCTCTCTGTTGAGAACAGCACCAACCAAAACCCTTCCATTCTCCACCTCACACAGGGTCTGTGGCCACCTGATCCCACTGAAGTGATGGGCCTTCCCCTGGCCTGGAGAGCTGTCCTCAGGCCTGGAGTCAGCCTTTAAGATATGCATTTGAACTTGGTGAATGCATTTTTCAATGCTATTCAAGGGAGATTTTATATGTGTCCTGCCCTCTGAAACGATGCTACTCGTTACAGCATGAGTGGCTGACCTGAATTCAGACAAAATTCTGAAACAGGGCTCACAAGTAAGAATAAGTAAGAAAAATGATTCCATGATGATATTACTAAAAAAAACCAATGAAAAGGATATGGAAGACATATTTCTGACTTTTTTTTTTTTTTAACTTTTCTCATCTTAGGTGGTTCTGAATTACAATGCATCCCAGTCCTCCTCCATTCAAAGGGACCATTAAATGCAGCTGCAAATTACAAGCTGCTCTCAATGGAAAAGAGAGGGCTTTTTCCATTTCCTGTTAAGAATATAGCAATGTAAGAAACTGGCTGCTTAACTGGGTGTATTTTTTAATGTTCCTAAAAGTAAGGTATAAGAAAAAAAAAAAAAGTCAGAGAAACTGTAAAAAGTGTTCAAATATGTCTCAATTAAAAAGTGATGGTTTCTATTAAATATTGATTGTGGAAAAATTGGGGGTTTTAGGGGTATGAAATAGAATGAAAATGGCCACTTTAACACATCTTATGGGCTCAAGCTGCCTCCACCTCGTCTTGAGGCCTGGCTCAGAACACTAAGTTAGTGATAATGCGTGGTATAGTTCCTCTTATTTTTTTCCCCCTCTCTTTGAGATACTTTGATACCCAAGAGACGATGCTTTAAGAACATAATGTGAGAGGAAGAAAGAAAATGCCTCAGCCAGTCTTTCTCTCACTTTCCTCTCCACCACTTTGACAATAGGACAAAAGCTTCCACAAAGTAGCACCTCATGTACTTAATCACAGCTGCAGGGGGAAAAAGTGGTGGTGGTGGGGGGAGCATTGAGCAAACTAATTATTTCCTTTGTAGCAGTAATACCTTTGCTTGTCCAAAGTACCTTGCCACTATATTGGCAGAGAACATACAAATGTAAGAGGTGGGGGAGGTTTGGGGTGATAGCATCAGTGAGAACCACTTCTAGTTCTACCTAATTAGCGGGAGAAAGGCTGGACTCAAGAATGAGAAAGCCTCTCCCCAAGGCCCGAACACTTACTGTCAGGCTCTGCCAAGCACGGAGTGTACCTCCCTCTGGGCTTCCGGGAGCCAGTGGAGAGGCAGATGGCTCGCGTCCTTCGGGACCCAGACCGAGACTGAGGCTGAGGAAGAGGGATGCTGGGGTCCGGGGCCGTGTGAAAGATCTACACGGAGGAACAATGGGCCACGGTAAACAGAAGGGTGAAAATGCCATTTTCATCATTTTCATCAGAAAAGAAGCTTTGAGACTTATATGCCACTTAATCTTAGAATTATATGCAGCTTCATCAGTTGTATGAAAGAGATGCTTAATACCAAAAAATAAGTACATTAAGTGAATCCCAGAATAATGACAACTTTCTTTCCCATTTACACCAAGGAATGTTTCTTCTCTGGGTTTTCCTTTTTAAAAAAAAATATATATTTTATTGATTTTCGACAGAGAGGAAGGAAGAGAGATAGAGAGATAGAAACGTTGATGAGAGAGAAACATCGACCCAGCTGCCTCTTGCACACCCGCTACCGGGGATGTGCCTGCAACCAATGTACATGCCCTTTACCGGAATCAAACCTGGGACCTTTCAGTCCACAGCAGACTGATGCTCTATCCACTGAGCCAAATCAGTTTCCGCTGGGTTTTCCTTTTGATGCTTCCCCAACAGTGAAGTTCAGATTCCCCAATCATTTTAAGAAACGTTTCAAATAGGAACAAATGTCAATGTTGAGACACGTTGATTCTTTTTGTGTGATAACTGTCTTCCCCCTTTCATGCTAAACATAGCCTTTGGTTGTACCATTTCCCTAGCAGAATGGGCCCATTTCTTAGCTGCCATGCCGTTGGATCTGAATGGTCAAGAAAAGTGCCAGGTCTGAGCACAAGGACAGGAGGCAGCCACGTGCTCCCTGGCTATGAGGAAGCCTCCAGCCTTAGCTAGGTACTAGGGAGGGACTCAGGGAAGGAGAAAGAGTCACAGTCATTCTCTTACATGGACTAGATCTGACACAGAGGCATCACAAAATGTTTAGACCTTCAGTGGTTGAATTTGTTAATAATGCAATCAATTCAGCTTCCCCAATTTCCAATTTCCATAGTTATTCTAAGATCCCATTCTTATAAAGTCACCCTCCTGGGGGACTGGCTAGAGATGACTTCAAGACTGCTCCAGAATATTTTCCTTGGTTTTATTTAGAATATCACCTCTGCTGTATGATTAAGAGTCTAATTCCAATAAGATTAAAGTGTTAAAAGATACTTAACCACAAAGTTATTCTAAAGTATTATCTGAATATGTGCAAAAATCTGATTATAGAAGTGCTCTGGAAGAAAATCTTTATTTTTTAAAATATAATTTATTGATTTTTACAGAAAGGAAGGGAGAGAGATAGAGAGTTAGAAACATCGATCAGCTGCCTTGTGCACACCCTGTACTGGGTTGTGCCCACAACCAAGGTACATGCCCTTGACTGGAATCGAACTGGGACCCTTCAGTGTGCAGGCCAACGCTCTATCCACTGAGCCAAACTGGTTAGGGCAGAAGAAAATATTTAAAGGAAAATGATGGAGAAGGAAAGGAGATCACATGGCCAGAAGGTTTTGAGGAGGATTTAAAAATTGAACAAGAAAAAGAAAAGTCAGAGTCCTCACGGAGACATGATTTATATAAAATTTACAAGACTAACATTATATGAACCTGATTTCACAATGTGAAGCTCGCAGATGATGCAAATGAAAAATCGAGATGACAGGAATGCAACGTACAAAATTTGATGCTCCCACGTGAAAATTCAGCCTACCTTTTCATAGTGCTCTATCAGAATTTCAACGACAATATTCTGAAACTTAATATTCATCATAGCAGCCACAGTTTCTTCCTGTGCTCTCATAAGAGTTGGGCCAAATATGACACCGAGGTTTGAGACAGTCATGAGATTCTGTTGGCTATGTAGTGATACTCTGCAGACAAGAGCAACAAAAACATCTTAAGTTAAATGTTTAGTAATTATAAAATGTTCTCAACTACCAAATTTGCGACATAAAATAAAATGTAAAACATCCCATTACAGGCTAATTTTTCCAAGTAATCAGGTTCAGTCACTTCCAATTGGCATTAATGAGTATAGTAAAAAATGACATAAGAAATTAACATAGCCAAAGTAAAACATAATTACAAAAGTTAATATATTGAAGGGGGGCGGGGAAATCTTGATTTCGTAAAGTGAGTGCAATCACCCTGAAGAGACAGATTATAGACCCTTTTGTATCTTCTACAGTGCTATACTTCTTTTAGAACAGATGGTTTAGAGTATTAATAGACTGGTTGTAATTTTATTTGGATTCACTAAACATATTGTTGAAAACCTACTGCCAGGCACTTCCAGATATTATTCCATTTAATCCTCCCAGGAAGACAGGTTTTCCTACTATACAGATAAAAAAACCAAAGCTCCTCAAGTAAAAATGATGTACTCGAGGTCACAGCAAATTAGGAACAGAGATGCTATTTGAATTCAGGTCTCCTGAGTACAAATCAAAGGTTTCCTTGAGCTCCTCACATAAGACAACTGGCTAATGAATGTTTTTTCCTTCCTTCCTTCCTTCCTTCCTTCCTTCCTTCCTTCCTTCCTTCCTTCCTTCCTTCCTTCCTTCCTTCCTTCCTTCCTTCCTTCCTTCCTTCCTTCCTATCTTTCTAAGCCTCCCCTGAATGCTTCTGTAAGTGCTGACCACTGTGCTGAAAAACAGGAAGAAGAGGAAACAGGAAGAGGAAATCAGTGCTGGAAATGAAACAAAAAGCCTGATATTATTGACCTGAGCAAAGTAATCTTGGTAGTTATCAAAGATGATTTTGACCAATTAACTAATTTGGAAACTGGATATATTCTTCAGAGGAAAAGAAACCTCATTCATTTGACCACGCTCTTAAGTTAACCACTGCCTTTTCTCTGTTACTTCCAGCCGGGTTTTAGAATGGAAAATTCTAGGAAGGAGTGTAACACCTAAGATTATATTTATATCTGAACATGCATCACTAACTATATCCCAAAACTCAAAGTAAAATGTTATGGGGAATCCAGGATGTTGGGTTACCCATGCAATTCTTAGTACAGGACAGGATATGCTGACTGTCCCAATGACTGAAATGTCCCCTGTGCCCGAGAGAGAACTATCTAAGAAGACTCTTGGTTAGACTAACAAGAGTTTCATCCCAAGTTTCCTTCTTGTTATAACCAAATATTACATATTGATTGTGGGTAATATATATTAGAGAATGTACTAAGAAAGTAGTCTGGAAAGACAATGAGTCTATCTGGAATCAAAGCATGAATCCATCCAACTTGGAAGTGGGGTGTAGTCAGCCTAGTCATTTAATAGCTTTAAGCTTCAGTTTCCTCATTTAGTAAGTATAGCAACCCTTATAGGGTTGAAAAAATGAAATAATCAATTAAATTAAGTGAAATAAGATCTCAAAATAATATCCTTCCTGTAATTAAATTGGCTTTACGAACTATTGCTAAAATATAAAAGTTCTTGGTAGTGTAAGTAAACTGGACAATGATTAACATAAAGCTCACTGGAAATACATTTAGAAATCCTAAAAATGTGCTCTATTTAGAAAAAGAGAGTTGATGACTGTGTCAGAAGAGATAGAATATTTTGATGACCAATTTACTCTTCACTGAATTTTCCATCTGCTGGGTTCCTGAGTTAACACAGACGCTTCTCACTCACATTTCATCCATTTGCACCTTAATCCCTCTACTCCTATAGGTAACAGACATCCAATTGCACTTCTGAATATTTAAAGTTAGAATCAAAGAAGAACCACAGATGGCCTAGTTTTCAGAAAGAAAAAAAAAGAAAAAGAAAAAAAGGATCCTCAGAAAGGAAGCAATCCTATATAATAAAACCATAATATGCAAATTGTTCCCTTGACTGAGAGTTTGACCAGGGGGTGGGGCCGGCTGGCCAACCCCAGGTAAGGAGGCCTTGGTCAGCAGCAGGCAGCAGGGGGGTGTGGAAGTCCTGGCTGTCAGCCAGCAGCTGCTAGGGATCCTACCTGGGCTTGAATTTCATGCACTAGGCATCTAGTGATTTATATAACCTCTCAGAGCTAACTAATGGAGATTTGGAATTAGTCATTGAGTTGTTGTTTCTTTAGGCCAGTGAGTAATCCAGGTCACAGGTCTTAAATTCTTTCTTTTTCTTTCTTTCTTTCTTTTTTTTTTTTTAAGCCACATAAGGTTGATAAGGACCAAGAGTGTTGTTAATTGTTTATAGTTTACCTGAGTCATAAGATTGCCAGGAACCAAGAATGTTATTAGTTGTTTATAATTACTTAAGTCATTAGAGCACACATTCTACTATACAAAAAACAAACAAACAAACAAACACTAACTAGAAAAGATGCATGCACTCCCATGTTCACTGTGCACTATTTAGAACAGCCAAGGCACGAAGACAGCCTAAGTGTCCACTAATGGATGGACGAATAAATGATGGTATGTATTAACAATGTAATATTACCCACACGTAAAAAAGAATGAAATTTTGCCATTTATGAAAATATGGAGGGATCTCAAGAGCATTATGCTAAAAATTAAACAAGTCAGACAGAGAAAGACAAACCCCATATGATCTCCCTCATATGTGGAATGTTAAAGAATAACAAAAAGAAAAAAAACACACACAACAAGCTCACAGATATAGAGAACAGATTGGTGGTTGTAAGAGGATGTGGGGTCAGGTGTGGGGAAAATGTGTGAACTGTTGTTTTCTAATTGAATAAAATATATATTTTTTAAATAGAGACTTTATAAAAAGTAGCTTCAAAAAGTCAATAAACAAACAACAGGGAGAAAAAAAGAAAAAAGGTAAGAGCCAGGAATGGTGATGAAGGATGAACAAGAGAATTTTAAGCACTTTTATATTACCAGATACCCTGTCCTGCTATTCTTTGTTATCAAAACAACACACATTCAAATTAAGGGTGAAGCTTGTGTTCATCTAATACTCTTGGTAATTAAGCAACAACATTCATGCCAATTTAAAAAGCACATTATTAGAAAAAGAGCTTGAATACAAGAGAATGACCAATAAATACCATGTGCTTAAATTTCATAAAGAGGTTATACAAATTCAAAAACATAATTTAAGACTAATTCTAACAAAGGATGAGTCCTTGTTTGTTAGCAATAAAGGTATTGCCATAGGCAACAGTTAAAAATAAACTTGAAATTATGCCATTCCAAGTGGATTCCTATGGGGGAATTTAATATTATCTCAAAGCCTGCACATTGAGAGTTATTAATAAGTTATGTAGCATTATTTCAAATGTGCATGACTAAAATTAGCATAAATTTGGTTACTACCTCTAGCAAACAAAGGAGGAATGAATTATTTGATTATGAATCATGGTATTCATTAAGATGAAAAATGTCTAACAGTTTTTGTGACAGTGTGAATGGATCTGCAGAACATTATGCTAAATGAAATAAGCCAATCAGAGAAAAACAAGTACCATATGACTTCACTCATATGGAATCTAATGAACAAAATGAACTAACAAGCAAAATAGAGACAGACTCATGGGTACAGAGTAGTCAGATAGCTCTGGTGGTGGTGACTGGGAGTTGGGTGTGTATGTGAAGGGACTGAGCAAAAAAGAAGAGAAATAATTCATGGACACAGATAACCTTGTGGTGACTGAGGGGTTGAGGGGAGAGCAGGGGGGAGGTGAAAGAGGTTATATGAGGAATAGAAACAAAACAAATTAAATAAATTAAATAAAAATAAATTAGAAAAAAAATGGAAGAAACAGTAAGGGGATTCTGAAATAAGTTTAAAATGTGAATTTGGACTTTTGTTTAGTTTCTAGTGGCATGGCAAACAAACTTCTGGATTGAGAGATTGAGAGAGAAAGAGAAAGAGAGAGAGTCTCAAAGATAGATATGTGATGTTTAATTTCATGGCCAAATTTGTGACACCACAATGCCCACATATATGGTCAAACATAATTCCAGCTGTGTTTGTGAAGGTATTTTTCTTCTTAGATATAACATTAACATTGAAATCAGTAGACTCTGAGTAAAGCAGATTACCCTCCACAATTTGGGTGGGCTTTATCCAATTAGTTGAAGGTCTTAAGAGAAAAGGAGGTCTCCTGAGAAAGAGGCATTCGGTCTCAGGGCTGCCTTGGATTCCAGCTGCAAAATCAACTCTTTCTGGGTCTCCAGCCTGCAGGGGTCAGGCTTCCTCCTGCCTGGATCAGGCCTGCATGGATCAGGCCGAAACTGGACATCTGACATCCCTGGAGGGGTCCCAGATTTCGAGAGAGCACAGGCCAGCCGAGGGATCCCACCAGTGCACAAATCTGGGCCACTAGTGTATATATAGTATGTGTATACATAAACACAAACATCCTATTCACTCTGTTTCTCTGGAGAAACCTAACTACTGTGATATCTATCAAGATTTTTAAATATATCAATGACTAGCAGCAGAGTCAAAAACATCTTCAGAGACCCAAGAGATACTATGAGTCCAAAGAAAGAACTCATATGGTGAACTCATTTTCAAACTTAAGGATCAAAATGTATCTAAAAGAATTGTGGGAAAACTATATAAATACTTTCCACATATATTTTTGAGTTGACACGTAAGTTTTTCATCATTAGCTTAACCGTTGCAAAGGATGTAATTATTTTCATATTGTACTCATACCCAGGTGCATACACATGTACATACAGATATGTCTCAAAATTCTTCATTCATTTTTAAAGCACATTCTACAGACTCTCATGACAACACCAATGTCCCAGCACCATCACACACTTAAGATGACATGGACAAGCCTAACTTCAACAGCTGAACAAGTAAAGTGAACAAGAGAAGTCAGAGAATTACTTGACCAGGTGCTTTATTAAGATGTCCAGCATCTCTCTGTTTTTCTCTGGTAATTTGTGTACCAACGCATGTACGGCCTCCACCCGGTAGTTTTGGTCATCAGATTCTGTAACATAAAAAAAAGGTTGCAAAGCTCAAGTTTTAATTGCATTAAAAATATATACACAAACATTAATCATCGTCACAACCACACCCACCCCTTCATGTCCTAAAAGCGTTGTTTCAAATGGCTATTATCACATATCACTCCCGAAGACTGAGAGAGGCTCAGTTACTAGTCCATGGCCATGGAGTTAGTGAGAAAAGAAGTTAGCAAACCCAGGTCTATCTAATACCGGCCGGTGCTCTTAGCCACACACATACAGACAACCGGAACTCATGGCCTGCTTTGGCTTTGCTACACAAGGACAGAACCAAACCTTCAGCAATGGGAGTGACCACAGCCAGGATTACAGACTGCCTAATGTGTGAGGCACTGTGATTGACGCTTTATCATACTGAAACCTACAGTGACTCCATCAAACTAGCGGAAGCAGGCATTCACAAATTCAAAAACCAGGAATTCTTTTTCTGAGGAATCAGAATCATGGTGCAAACAGAGGCCCAGTCCATTTATATAAAAACTGCTGTTTGAAATTTTAACCCTGTTATTTGGCTTCTGTAAATGCTTGCTTGCTTAAATAATAAGGAAAATAAGACTACTCCCACTTCAGAGAGGCTATTAAACCTTACCAGGACAAAAATTATCAGTGCTGGTGCCAGGCCAGGCCTTTGGTTGAGGTCTCAAGGCCCCAAAACATAGGGGCTCTTTGCAAAGGGGGCCGGAAACACCCCACATTTGGGAGACAAGGAAGGTAAAAACATATAAATAGGGAAAATTCCTCCATGTGGGGGCCCAGAATTTGAGAGACATTTTCCTCTGGACCGGCACCTAATAAAATGTGACTCCAAACTCTCTAGCATTGTTTGATTATTATCCCGGTTCTCTGTAACAATTTCCCAAAGGTAGATTTCATAAAGAGAACATCAGATGGGGAGCTTTCAGGAGGAAGCTCAGTAGCATAGTTGAACATATCTATTCACCAGATCATGTGGTCAGCCATGTGTGCTGGATTAAAAACCCAGGCCACTCCACTTCATCTGACACTGATATCAGCAGACAGCGTTTCCTGTGGCATTACAATGTGTGGTAATAAAATAATGCAAATATTTCTTTCTTGGGTTGTGAAAAATACCCTTGTTACAGGCACACCTCCTACATCTTAACAATGAAATTCCAAGGCCTAATTGTTACAAAGTGTTGTGATGCTGTCAGATGGCGCCCTGGCACTCTGATGCCAATGTTTTAAAAGTACGTATTTCTAATTCCTCCGGTTACACGTTTCTCACAGACAACCCTCCTCCCCCCCGGCCAACCTCCCCTCAGGTTTTGAATTAAACCTATCCACATCATATTTTAATAGTCACTGATATAAAAAGATGACATAAATATGTGACCATCAACACTACAAATATAATATGGGGGAAGAGCCTCTTGCCTGCCAAAAATATCTGATTCTTCTCTCTAGATTTGGGAACACAGTTTTTCCCCCCCAGATTTGGGAATGGTATGTGAGTATGTGTATGGCAGTAGCATAAATGTACATTTCTGTAGTCTTATACATCTAACCATGAAGTTGCTCTTGTAAAAAAAAAAAAAAATGACATCCATTAATTAAATAAAATGTAATTAGAACAATTCCTCACAGCTTTTGCTGATCATACCTGAATGTCACTCCAATGAGGTCTTATTAAATGACAAAATATTTAGTTCATCCTACAATTTCTCATTTGTTAATAAACCATATTGTAAGCTATTAAGTATCACATTGACAATTTCTTAGTATCTAGAGAAGTCTTAACTAGCTGGTTTAAAGTTATACCTCTAAGTAACACAGCATAAGATGACATCAATGGAAGCATACTTACTAACAGCAAGAATAAAATCTTTGTGCAACTTGTAAGTCATTAGTGGTTCGGCAAGGCACCTGCAACAGAGAAGGAAGCATACTTTGCAATGGCAGCGTCTCTTTATTTCCCGATGTACAGTGCTTCCTGGGAACCGGTGGTCAGGCTGCATTGCAGGGTAAGTCCTAGTAGGGGAGGCTCCAGGCAGTGCTAAAACAAAGACCTCAGAGACCCAATGCCCCTTGGCACTTCTCGCCACAATTACGATGTTCAACAGAGAGGCCCAAGGACCATTTTTTCACTTTGTGAGCAAAACTCCTCTCAGACATGGGGATAATATTAAGAAAAACAACTTTCAATTTCAGCCTATTTTGTAAGAAATACATGTGAACCCTACATTCAAATTTACTATGAAACAGCCCTGGCCAGTTTGGCTCAGTGGATAGAGCATAGGCCTGCAGACTGAAAGGTTGCAGGTTTCTATTCCAGTCAAGGGTACTTGCCTGGGTTGCGGGCATGGTCCCCAGTAGGGGCATGCAGGAGGCAGCCGATCAATGATTCTCTCTCATCATTGATGTTTCTATTTCTCTCTCTCTCCCTTCCTCTCTGAAATCAATAAAAATATATTTTAAAAAAAATTTACCATGAAACAGAAATTACTTAGTATTCATGAGATACTAAGTAATAAACTTAAATAATAAGTGTATTATTTGATAAATAATAAACTTAAGCAATAAGTTTATTATTTGAGAAATCAAGGATAAGTTCCAGAACACCAAACACAAACATTACCACCTCGCACCCTTTCAGCAAAGGGGCTGGGCTGAGGGGTGGGGCCCACAGCCGTGGCATGGCATCCCCTGGGGACTGCCCGCGCCAGGGACAGGTCACCGCAGAGTGACCTCTGCCTGCAGTTAACCCTGCTCACCTGAGGTAGTTTTTCAGTCCACTTGTTATTGTCTTGTTATCCCATAGTTCAATATCAATGTCCATATCGGGAGGGGATTTGGGAGCTAAAGAGAATACAAAGAAAATACTTAGATGGTTCAATTAAAAAATACCACTTGCACCATTAAGAAAACAGGGACCAAAGTAAGTAGGTCAAACAAAGGGGCACTAAACCTCAACTATTTCTTGTGGAATAATAGTTTCCCAAGTCAAATTATTGCTAATGGCTGACATCACAGAGCATCCACCATGTATTGGGCATGCTTCTAACTACTCCATGTGAATTAAAATTTCCAGTCCTCACAATTCTCAATGAAGCAGGCACTATTATTATCCCCAGTTTACAAATGAGGAGGCTGAGGCACAGAAAGGTTAAGCAAATTACCCACAACCACAAAGCTTTCAAGTGGCTGAGTTGGATTCCAAGCCAGGCAATCTGAATCCAGCAACCATAAATCTCATTGCAACTCTAGCTAATCAAAGGACACTATAGAGAAAGTCCAACATCATAAACTCCCCCTCTCAAATTCTTATTGTTCTTTCATTATAACTGGACATTGAAAACTGAATACAAAATATTACTTGAAAACACTCAAGGATAAGCAATAGGCCATATCTCAAAACCAAAAACCAAAAAAACAAAAAAAACAAAAAAAAACACCCAACAATAACAACAACAAAAATCTATGATTTGGATTATCTGTAAGAATACAAAAATTAAGCAACTGTTTCATCCAAAACTTACAAAATGTGGTGTTCATGAGTTTCTGAACTTTGGAGTTCACTCCTCCTATTCGGTATAGGCCTAAAATTGTGATGCCTAATGGGAAGGAAAAAATCACAAGAAAATGACTTGAGACAGCTTCCTAAGTACAGAATGTTAAAAACTCAGACATATGCCTACACAGAATCTGAAAGCTGCTCATCCAGTTTTGTGGTCTCACTTTAGCAAACCTCCCCTGGAAACACCCACCAGACATATATTTCTCAGAGCAGACACTAAGCAGTGATTTGAAAGTCTTTGAAGATCTTCAAAGTAGCGAAGTGCACCTGCCTATTCTCCACGACTTGAATATGAATATGAAATAGCACTGCTCATCTATTTCTTCGGCCACAGAGTTCTGCATGTTGAACAGTTTTGTGGCATTTTTTTTTTATCTTCACTGTAACGGTGAAGGAAACAAATTCAAAGAATACAAGAAACCTATTTAATGTCTCAGAACTTCTAAGTGGCAGCACCAAAATTTGAATCTAAGTTTAAAGAACTCCACAGCCCAATAGGAGTTTTGCTTTAAACAGGTTTTCCTGGAAGTGTAAATGCCTAACAGACCACTGGAATGGGCTTCAGGAGAGAGGTCACCACTAGAGTGCGGAAGGTGCTGAAATCCTGACAGTGACTGAAATCACTGAAGGAAATCATATAGGGAGGAGGAGGGGCTGAACACAAGCTACTTAGGAATCTTACTGACTTCCCTAAAGCAGAAAAACAAACAAACAAACAAACAAACAAACAAAAAACAACTAAAGTGGTACTTACAATAATAAATATTTAGAGTCCATCAGTACCAATAAGAAGTAAACTGAGGCTAGGTAGGAAGATGTGACCAAGTATATTTATAGGATGATTTTTTTTATTAACTGAAGGTCCAAGTAAAACTCTTTATGTATTTATATAATCACAGAATTTCGTAAATTAATCTCATGGTAATGGCTAAACGCATCTCATTTGCTGAGCATTTGTACATCAGAATGGACCACATGACAGCAGCGATACACCATCAGGTGTACTGACCTCTTGTTTCCACAGCTTGAATGCATTTTCTCACGAAGTTGAACCCTGCTTCATTTAAGTACACTGAAAAAGAAAAATAAAATCGTTTTCAGTGTTCATGCTGAACTGATATTTCCCCTTCATTGGCCTCTGTTGGTTTAATGGTGGTTTGGGGTAGAGTCTGAATTTTCACATGTGGTAGAAGCTGAGGAGGGTGGTTCGCACTCACCACAGTTATTACATGAACTTGCTTCATTAGAAACACAAATCCTTCCATTTTCTCTAAAATTAGCAATAACCTTCACTACAGGTTTTCACAGATGGTAAAAGCAAAATGTAATAAGAATGAACTTTTATTGTGTGTTAGGAACTCTATTACAAAGCCAGTCACACGGGATTCTCAAAACAACATGATGATGTAGAGAGAAAGCTTTAATTTTAAAATGATTCACTGGGTTGCTGGAAACTTCATTTTCTTTGTTCTAAGCTCTCTAGAGCCAGGATTCTAAACTTCTCTTGATTCCAACTCCAATAATCCTTCTTATTATATTTTGTACCATATTCAAAATAATTCAAAATAACCTTAGTCCACTAAAAATCCCCCAAAGATTATTATTACATTGTGAAATAGCTATTTATTTTCATTGCTTTATGCTAGATTTTCTTTAAATCAGGTTTTTGTTTTAAGGTTTTATGGCCTAATCAAATTAGATTACTTGTTTAAACAAAAAGGATTTAATAATACTAAGAAAAACTTAAAAAAAATTATATATATATATATATATATATATATATATATGCATATACAAAAATTTATATATATCAAGAAGGGGTGCCACCAACAGGGAAAACATTTGAAGAAACCCTGCATTTAGAAAGCCACTGAAATGAGAATTCACTGAAAGGTTTGAGAAATCTTTGGCTCCACAAAACCCCCAAGGTACTGACATGAAAGAATGTTTATTATATGTTATTAGGTGAAAAAAGTAATCAACAGGATGATATGAGCCAATTCCTTTTTTCCCCCTGTTTTCTATTTTTTAATTGTTTCTTTATTTTATTATTTTCCATAACTATCTCCTCTACACCTCTCTATCCCCCAACAATCACCATACTGTTGTCAGTGTCCATGAGTTCTTTCTCTTTTTTTTTCTTTCTTGCTCAATTCCTCCACCTTTCCAACACCCTCTGCCCTCTGCCCCCAACACCTCACACACACCAGAGCAGTCTGCCTGCTCTTTATCTATGAGTCTGTCTCTGTTTGTTAGTTCAGTTTGTTACCCTTTGCGACAGCATAGATGGACCTGGAGAACATTATGCTAAGTGAATTAAGCCAGTCAGTGAAAGATAAGTACCACATGAGCTGACCCAATGTCTTAAAATATAATAATATGAGGGTATTTTTGTGTTCCCAGTGTCAAAGTCAAGTGAATAGAAATCAGTTAATGCTTTGGGTGAACTCAACACACAAGAATGAATGGCCATGAAACAAGCATCTGTTAGAGTTGACTACCCACAAGAGGGTAGCTCCTTTGAACACCACATAGTGATTGCTTGTTTCCAATAATCCAAAATGCTAAGTTAAGCATTTTATACATTATAAATTGTGAAATTTTTAAAGTAGTTATTGGACATTGGAAAACAAGTGAATGGAGAGGTGAGGAACCAATATAAAATAAATAAAGAAATGAGAAATCAATGACTAATTTTCATTTTTAACAATAAACATGGAGCTCCAAGAATGCAACCTTAAGAAAAAGCAATGCAGAGGATTTTTGTGCCAATTAAAACTGCAAGTTCCTGACATTTATAATGTTTGTTTCTTGAGGTCACATTGTTCAACTTTTCAATAAAATAATTTTAAAAGAGAAAAGCATTAAAAAAACCCTTTTTTCAATAAAACTTGGCCGTGGCAAAATAAATGAAGATAATAGTGATATATATTGTAAAAACAGAATTTAAGTATCCGTTTTGAGAAAAATAAGCAATAACCAGGCTATATCTTGAAGGTATACTGGGCTGTTTGGCAGCAATACTCCCAGGCTGTTCTAGCACACAGACCTGACAGGCTCATTACGAAGAATACAATCTTACAGATATTCAGTCGCCTGCCGTGTAATTCCATGGTACTGCTGTTGTGATGTGTCCAAGGGTCTTGTGCTTCAGTTCTATTCAATTCAGTAAACAAAATGCTATCAATCAATTTAGAGATGTGGAAGAATATCATATGTTGGCAAAGATAACCATGCATTTCTCTTTTGTTTCTTTTCAGTGTTTTTTATTTTTTGTTTTTTTTTAATCTTTATTGTTGAGAGTATTACAGCTGTCTCACCCATTCAAGCCCATGAATCTAGCTGGCCACTGAAAAAATAAGTTGTATATTAAGAAATGTCCCTACACTCATTACACTCAACAAATCACAATGAATACACATATTCACTCATTAAAACTGAATAGACTGAAGTCTCTGGAATTACTGCCCACCATATATGTTGCCCCTTTCTGTAAGAAGATCACATTATTCAGCTCCCTCCAAGTCAGCTTTCTCTGGGATATGCACTAGCCCAGTGGTCGGCAAACTCATTAGTCACCAGAGCCAAATAACCACAGTACACGATTGAAATTTCTTTTGAGAGCCAAATTTTTAAAATTAAACTTCTAACGTCACTTCTTCAAAATAGACTTCGCCCAGGCCGTGGTATTTTGTGGAAGAGCCACACTCAAGGAACCAAAGAGCCGCATGTGGCTTGCAAGCCACAGTTTGCTGACCACTGCACTAGCCAATGAAATATAAATGGGGAGTGACACATGTCATTACCCAGCAGACACTGAGAACCAATATGTAGCCTGTCAGGTCCTTTTTCCTTCTGGCATGAGATCAACAATAAGACAGGGAGAGGCAACTCCATGAGCTTGGGGTCCTGTGTGGACACTGTGTTCCAGGTCTGGAGCCATGGCTGGCCAGGATGGACCCACATCATGATCAGCAATGAAGCTCACTTTGGTAAGCCTCTGAGATTTGAGGATCATCTGTTACCACAGCAGAAGCTGGCCAGTCTGATTTAATAATGTATAACTTACACAGCTTGCTATGACAAAAAGGACTAAATAAATAAAGGCAATGCCACAGTTAACTTTTCCTTGCTTAATGGGAATCCTACATCCATTTTTTCCCTCGGCTACTGCCCGGTCAATTCATGTAACAAGGCAGCAAAGGGCAGCAGTGGCACTGCCCATTCATGGTTGCTTTGCCAACTACTACTCAACAGTGCCTTCATGCAAGCACCCAGAACTTCCTACTGAGGGCTGAGAAGAGGGTAACAGGGCATAAACAGGCTATGGCACACTGTCTCCCAGTGGCAGACATAAAGCCAGTCACATGGAGTAGTCAGGGGGATGTCAGGGGCAATCACAAATTACATGAAGGAAAACATGCAACCTTCCAAAGCCATGAAGGGGTTAGTAGACTTAATGCCAGTGTGAATGAGAATTCAACACAAGTACATTCTCTAGAGCAGGGGTCTTCAAACTTCTCTCATTATGAGAATCACCTGGTGGAGGTGTTAAAACACAGATTCCTGATAGCACTTCTTATAGTTGGGATCCGGGAATCTGTGTTTTAACAACTCCACCAGGTGATTCTCATAATGAGAGAAGTTTGAAGACCCCTGCTCTAGAGCAGTGTTTCCCAACCTTCTCTCATGATGAGAATCACCTGGTGGAGTTGTTAAAACACAGATTCCCGGATCCCAACTAAGAAGTGCTAAACTAGAATTTTTGGGAACATATAGGTAAAATTGCATACCTAACTTAGTGCTCTGTATATAAAATCTGTCTTAGAGCACTAGTTAAGTATACAATTTTACCTATATGTTCCCAAAAATTCTAGTTTAGCACTTCTTAGTTGGGATCCGGGAATCTGTGTTTTAACAACTCCACCAGGTGATTCTCATCATGAGAGAAGGTTGGGAAACACTGCTCTAGAGCACAGAAAGAAAAAAAAAGTAGTAACTCCTTAGTGTTCCAATGAAATGCCCATGGAAAATGTTCTTCATAAATCAAATCACACCTCACCCTATGACAGAGCTACAATTTACCGTGATTCCCGTTGAGTGGAGGACAGGCTGTTCCAGCCGCGACAGTAGAGGAAGGCTCAGTATGGATTGCTGAATCAGGGCTCAGCGCTGGCCAGAGCAGACAGCCAATTATGCTTCCTGATGGATTGCTCGGTAGCTGCTGGCTTGCTCAAGTGCCCTCTCTGCGCCTTCCAGAAGGGTTAGAGCTTATCAGCAAGCAGGACCTACTTTTATCACCTCCTCACAGGGCTGCCACCCCAGCCCTGTATCTCCCTGCTCCAGAGAGGACCAGAGGGAAGTGCAGAATGCAACTACCCCCAAATTCCTGGAACGGGAATCCTATAAAACGGGATGATACCTGGCCTTCAGAGGTAGAAGCAGAAGACAGGCTAACTTAAAAAAAAAAAAAAAAAAAAAAAAAAGTCATTGATTCAATTGAAAGCTAAGTATACACATTGTGTGTGTGTTTCGCCTCCTCTGGAAACTGTTCAGGGCTAAAGCTTTTATTGAAAACAAATTAAGTTTCTATAGGCAGCTTGGCAGCATAAAAGCTATTAATTTCAACAGAATTCAAACAACCATGAGACGAAAAAAAGAATACTCTCCCATACAACTAACAAAGCAAAAGTCCTTGTACCTTCCATTTCCCAGTAATTAAAAACTCAGAATGTCCTTACTGATGTAATCTCCTTGGCCTCACAGTACATTCTCAGAGTTGACAAAACAAAGCAACACTTGTCTTTAGTTTCTACTTCACTTTTCTAACCTGCCATTTCAGATTAAAAGGCCCCTTATCACAGACAACCACACTACCTGGGGCTTGAAAGAAACAGAAAAGAGAAATGAGTGCATTTACTGGTGTTTGTGATAAGAACCCTTTCTCTTCTCCCTAAAGGGGGAGCAGGTGGCTCTCCACAGCCTTGGCCCAGACTCTTCCCTCTTCCTGGCTCTGCTCGTGAGGAGCACTTTGGATCTGACCCTCTTCCTGGTCTCAGTGATAGAAACAGA